TGAAGAAGTAATACAAAAACAATTATTTAATTAATATGACAAAAGCATCGATAATACCTGAACCCAACTGCCTAAGTTAAAAGGATGATTTGAAGCAACCACTTAGATGATTAGCAATAAAAAATTTACCAAATTTATCTTTACTGTCTATCAATATCTCTCCCTACCTCATTCTAAATCTATTTCACTCTCTCAACTATTTTATTCCTTAATGGGCCAAACAATCATATTGGTATGTATTTAAAAATATTTGTTGCACTTAATCTAGAAAGAATTACATTAAATATAAAATCAGGTAAGCTGCAACACTTCTGTTCAACATTCTATTGCAGGTTCTAGACATTGAATAAGGGCAAAAGAAGAAATAAAAGGCATACAGATTTGAAAGGAAGAAGTAAAACTGTCTTCACTTAAGGATGACATACTATGTATGAAGAAAATCCTAAGGAAGCTACAAAAAAAGCTACTAGAAGTAGTAAGTTAAGCAAGGTCTCAAGATACAAGATCAATATAAAAAAGTCAATTGTATTTCTATATATTAACAACAAACCATTGGAAATTGAAACTAAAAAATACCATTTACAATAGCATCAAAAATGTAAAATAGGAATTTTTAAAGATATGAGCAAGAACAATACACAGAAAATATAAAACATTACTGAGTGAAATTAAAGAAGGCCTAAATAAATGGAAAGATATATGGATTCTAAGACTCAGTACTGCTAAGATATCAGTTGTCCCCAACCTGATATATAGATGCAATGCTATCCTAATAAAAAACCCCATCAGGCTTTTTCTTTTCTTTCCTTCTTTTTTTGTTTTTTGGACAAATTGACAAGCTGATTCTAAAAATTATTTAGAAAACGCAAAGAACCTAGAATAGCCAAAATAATTCTGACAAAGAAGAACAAAGTTGCCTTAGAGTACCTGATTTCAAGACTTACTATGAAGGTAAAGAAACCTATAAAGACAATGTTTTACGTTCTACCTTGGTGAGTAGCGTCTGGGGTCTTAAAAGCCTGTGAGCAGCCATCTAAGATACTCCACTGGTATCACCCCTTCAGGAGCAAGGGAGAATGAAGAAAATAGGATACAAGGAAAAGATTAGTCCAGAGGACTAAAGGACCACAGCTACCAAGGCCTCTACCAGACTGAGTCAAGTACAGCTAGATCGTGCCCGGCTACCACCGACTGCTCTGACTGGGATCACAACAGAGGGTTCTGGATAGAGCTGGAGAGGGATGTAGAACAAAATTCTAACACACACACACAAAAGACCAGATTTACTGGTCTGAAAGAGACTGGAGAAACCCCGAGAGTATGGGCCCCCGACGTCCTTTTAGCTCAGTGCTGAAGTCACTGCCGAGGTTTACCATTCAGCAGGAGACTGGACAGCCCCACAAAACCAAACGGGACTAATGAGGCACAGCAGTCCAGGGACAAGGACTAGAAGGCAGAAGGGGACAGGAAAGCTGGTGATAGGAAACCCAAGGTTGAATAAGGACACTGTTGACATGTAGTGGGGTTGTTAACCATTGTCATAGGGTAACATGTGTACTGTTTAATGAGAAACTATTTTGTTCTGTAAACCTTCATCTAAAGTGAGAATAGCAGAACAACTGGAAGAACATAATCGATGTCACTGAATTGTGCATGCAGAGATTTTTAAAATGGTGTATCTTTGGCTATGTATTTTCACCAAAAAAAAAAAACAAGGTCAAGAAGGGAGAGTATTGACACGTCGTGGGGTTGTTAACCAATGTAATAAAACAATATGTATACTCACTGTTTAATGAGAAACTATTTGTTCTGTAAACCTTCACCTAAAGTACAATTAAAAAAAAAGAGAGAGAAACCTAGATAGTGTGGGATTGGAATAAAGATATAAATCAGTAGAACAGAATAGGGAGTCCAGAAATCAGTTCACACATATATGATCAGTTGATTTTAAACAAAGATGCTGACATAAAAGTAAAAAGATAGTCTTTTCAACAAATGGTGCTAAACATGAGCCTCAATCCTTAATTTTCACCATACAAAAAAATTTACTAAAAAATGGATCACAGGCCTAAATGTAAAAGCTAAAACTATCAAGTTTCTAGAAGAAAACACAGGAAAAAATCTCTGTTACCTTGGGTTGTGCAAAGATTTCTTAGGACACAAAGAACATGAACCATAAGAGAAAAAAACGAATAAATTGGATTTCATCAAAATTAAAACTTTTGTCCTTTTAAGACAGTTAAGAAAATAAAAAAAGGCCACAGACCAGGAAAAAATTTTTCAAACCATGAACTGTATCCAGAATAAAGAATTCTTGCAACTCAATAAGAAGAAGATAATCTATTAAAAATGGGTAAAAAGATTTTAACACTTTTCAAAATAATAAAGAGAAATGGCAAATAAGCATGAAAATATGCTTAACATAATTAGTAATTAGGGAAATGAAAATTAAAACCATTAGAATGACTAACATGATAGTAAGAAGCCCGGTGGCACAACAGCTAAGAACTCCGCTGCTAACAGAAAGGTTGGCAGTTCGAACCCACTCAGGGGCTCCATGGGAGAAAAACTTGGCAATTTGCTTCCATAAAGATTTATAGCCAAGAAAATCCTATGCGGCAGTTCTACTCTGTCACATGGGGTCGCTATGCGTTGGAATTGACTCAACGGTACCCACCACCACCACCACCAACATGATAATACCAAGTGTTGGTGAGAATCTGGAACAACTGCAACTCTTACACATTGCAGGTGGGAATGTAAACTAGTACAACCACTTCAGAAAACAATTAAAAGGATTCTTAGAAAGTTAAACATATGCTTACCATATGATCCAGAAATTCTACTCCCAGGTATTTACCCAAGATAAATGAAGATATATGGCCACAAAAAGGCTTGTACATAAATTTTTACAGTAGCTTCATCCATAATACTCCAAATCTGGAAACAATACAGATGTCCATCAACAGATGAAAAGACAAACAAATGGTAAAATATTCATATGATGAAATACTATTCAGTAATAAAAAGGAATGAACTGCTGATCACATAACATGGATGAATCTCAAAAATATCATGCTGAGCAAAAGCCAGAAAGAAGAGTACATACTGTATGATTCCATTTACATGAAAGTCTAGAAAAGATAAAATTAATTTTTTATAGACAGTAATCAGATCAGTGGTTGCCTAGGGTGAATGTGTGTGTGGGGTATTGAATGGGAAGGAACACAAAGGGAAGCGTTTGGGGTGATGGAAATGTCCTACACCTTGATTGTGGTGGTGGTTAATTTACCAAACCTCATCAAACTGTACACTTTAAACATGTGCATTTTATTGTATGTAAACTATACCTTAATAAACTTGATTTAAATGAAAAAAAAAAAACGGAGAGAGGTAAACTTTTACATTTCTCTCTCTCCTTTGCACTTCCACAGACAATTCTACAAATTAATTTTGTGGGTAAAACAGCTATGTGACACCGGATAAATAATTACTCTGAACTGAGTGAGTTTCATCAGTAAAATGAGTGAATAAGATGAGTTCATTCATTCATTTCATTTAATAAACATTTATTAACACCTATTATGGGCAATAGTAGAACGAAGAAGAATTGATGCATTTGAATTATGGTGTTGAAGAATATTGGATATATCACGGACTGTCAGAAGAACAAACAAATCTGTCTTGGAAGAAGTACAGCCAAAATGTTCCTTAGAAGCAAGGATGGCGAGACTTTCTCTCACCTACTTTAGACATGTTATCAGGAGGGACCGATCCCTGGAGAAGAACATGTTTGGTAAATTACAGGGTCAGCGAAAAAGAAGATCCCCAATGAGATGGACTGGCACAGTGGCTACAACAATGGGCTCAAACATAGCAACAATTGTGAGGCTGGCACAGGACCAGGCAGCGTTTTGTTTTGTTTTGTTGTACGCAGGTTCAGTATGAGTTGGAACAAACTCAACGGCACCTAACCACAACAACACTATGGGGCATGAACTATACTAGGTTCTAGAGATATAAAGCTGAAAAAGAAAACTGTTACTGCCATCAAGGAGCTCACAGTCTAGTGTAAGAGAAAGACAAGCTAACACATGATTATGATACAGCTTATGACTATTTAAGGTATGAGGAGGACTCATAGATGCGCAGTCTTCCCTGATGATATAACGCCTGAGTTAGGTTTTGAGGTATAAGTAAGAGTTAGGTAAAGAGGGAAGAGAAGGCATTCCAATCAGAGGGACTTGTATAAACAAAGGGCCAAAGGAGACAGACATATCATGTGTTCAAGCAACTTCAGGTAGTTTAGTATGTCTAGAACATAGACTTTAGCCGTGTAAGGTCATAGTTGTGTCTTTGAATGAAAAAAAGTAAAAAACAAAACAACAACAACAAAAAACCACTCCTCTAATTTGAGCAGTATATAGACAGGAGTTCTGTACCAAATAATGATACCCATGTTTTGGCGGATCCTCTAAAAAGTAAATGACTGTATCATCGGTTAGGGTTTTTCCTGTTGTAAACAGAATCTTTTGGCTGATATAATTAAGTAGTCCTGGGGCAGCCTGGTGGAGTGTGATCTGGGGATCAACATTCCCTATTTCTAGGTTGAAGCAATTCCATATTTTCTCTTGTTCATATCCAGCTTCCCTGAAAGATTAAACCAAAGCCTTGTAATTGAGTTTCATAGCCATCATTGGTCTTAGACTTTACACTGATTGTGGAAGCAATTCCTGTGTACAGAGTGATGGTACATGGTGACTGGCTTGGCCCGGACCCAGAGCGAGGTATGGGAATTAGCCTCACCTGAGGTACATGAGGGAAGGGTGGGTCTTAAAATATAAATTAGAATCTTTGAGGAAGAAAGTAGAATAGTTACTAAGGTAGAACTATGTTTTAAGAAAAATAGATCCCAATAATTTTCAGAACAAGTCAGAGGATACTAACACATGTGGGCGACTTTCTTCTCCATCTTCTATACCTAGGGACTGGTCAATGAAAACGGACTTGAGAACATGGTGACTTAAGAACTTGTAGAACATGCAGACAAAATACTATCACTCAATATTATAAGCACCATACTAATGAATGAACAGTTTCATAAGAACAAAGCGAAAGGCATAATTAATTCTAATTCACAGGCTCCAGGGTATGTTCACAATAGAGGAGATTTTTGAGTGGGGCCTTGAAAAATGGGAAAGGTCCTTTTGGCAAAGACAAAAGTGCATGGCCATGGCTGGATCAGTATGTGATCTGGTAAGGCTGAGGTACAGGATAATGGATCAGCTGTGGGAGTATGACAATGGAAAGACCAAGATGTGAAGAACTCTTCCTGCCATCTCACAGAGCCTGGGTTTTATTCTTTAAGCAATGGGGAGTTGTTGAATTTTTTAAGCATGGAAGTGACATAATCAAATCTGTATTTAGAAAACTGTAGGAATAGATTAGACACTTCTTAAGACAAGTGTTGGGAGATAACGCTAAGTTTTGAGGTGGAAGGCTGAGGAAGTTCAAGGCTAATTGTCTTTATTTTCACTGTGAAATAGGATGGGCAAACATACGCTGAGTGTGAGGGGGTGCTATGCAGTTACGGCAACCTGGAAATTTCTATTAGCCAGAATGATGCATTACAGAAACATTCTTGTCAGAAAGAGTTCAATAAACCCTTCCATAATATAAAGTTATATTACAGGGCGGGAGAGTGAATTACATTATATCAGTGGGTGAACTGAAATCCAGAAGGGCCAAATACAATTCATCTATTAAGCTATTTCACTATCAGTGCCAATTGCCATAGAATAATTATATATAAGTATCACTGGTGACTCAGATCCTTGTGATCACTGGCAGAGGAGATGTGGAGAGGGTCATGGGCTTGTAGGGAATGGCTCAGGAGGGTGCAGGAGGAAGGAAGCTACGGGAGGTAGGGTAAGGTGATACAGTTAGAGATTAAGTTCCTAACTGGAATGGGCAAGGCCGCCTGAGTGGCTTCAGTGCAGTATTTTAACAAGCGGCCAAGAGCAGTATATGGTAGAGAGGGGTTTGCGGTAGCTACCAGCACTGGCTTTGGGATTCAGATTCAGGACTACTGGCTGAGGCTACGTGTTCCAAATGAAAGGATCTGCTATGTCATGGTCCATTCATTTTTTTATAGACATAGAAACAAATTATCAAGTAAAATTATACCAACGCTAATGAGGCTGGGCATTCTTTATATATTATCCTCTACCACTTGACCTTAAAATGTCATATTTAAAACTAATTACCAATAATATCTTACATTTGTCTGACGGTTTACAGTTTAAAAAACTACTTTCAAATATATTTTCTCATTTGGTCCTACACAACCTTGTAAGGTAAACAGAGCAAGTATAATAAATTTTTACTGCCCCTTGCCGCACAAAATTACAGATAAGAGTGATTAAATTATCTAAGGATTTCTAGCTAGAAAAAGAACTCCGCAGTCTAGTGTTTTTCCTACTAGACTACTACACTGTCTCCTCTAAAAAAGCTTATGAATATTCCACCAAAGAAGAAAGTCAAAGATGGGCATATCTGTACACATAATCATTCAAAACTCTTAATCATTTAAAAACTCTTTCTCCTCCTAACATTTTTTTTCATTTTCTCAAAGTGGGAGAAGAAGGGAGACAATAGTTCTAGGTGTATGCTTTGCCCTCTTGATGGATGTACATTTGCACACACAGAATGGCGAAGCATATGACTATAACTGTATCACCTTTAAAAGCAATAACACGGGTTTAAGAGTCAATAGCAGAATAAATTATTTAGTCCTCAGTAAGTTAACAAGTGCCAGATAAATATAAACACATACTATAGATTCTCAAATTAATAACTAGATATACCAAACTCCACCACCCTTGCAATCTTATGCTAAACCTCACACATTTCCTAATATATATTCTCTAAATAAGGCTCATTACATACATCTGGATAAAACTTAATAGAATTCTAGGCAACCCATAAGAGTATCGATCTATCAATTTACAGTTTTGTTGAAATTATCAATATCTTAAATTTGAGTCTAAAATTGAAAGATAATAGTTTTTGGACTTTTTTTCTTACATACTATTAATACATCTTATAGAAATGGTAGGCCTTTAGTAACTAACATAAAATAATACCCGTCACTTTAAATAAAGACCAAAACAAGACTGATGCCTTGTATAATGTCTTCAGTTCTCCTTCTAGTCTCTCTCAGCTGCTCTTCCCTAACAGTAAATCTCCTTAAATCAAACTTCAGTCGAGGTGGGCTTGGTTTTGATTTGTCATTTCCTTCATTCCCCAGGCTATCCTCTTTGTATGCTTCCAAAGTAACAGAATCTGGCAACAGACCTCAGCAGTGCCAAGTCTTCTAACCAAGAGATGGAAGGCTGTGAAGTTCAAAAGGATCACCCCATAATTCTCTGATTTTTTTCACAATGAAGAATAAACTATTATCATAGGGAGACAATTGTATTTGACCTTACCAGTAGAGACCTTTAAGGGAGAAATAAAATGGAGAGGGATCTAGAAGATGTCTGGTGAGAGAAGTTGCCCAAAACACCAAAGTACATTTGACTTCCTACTTAAAAGTGTTATCTTACTCAAGTCTCCCCATCCTCCAAACCCCACCAGAGGCTCTGAGTGAAGACCAATTCATAAAGACAAAATAAAACATTATCTAGTGATAAACTCACAAACTGACATAAGAGAACTGTCCCAGAAGCTACATTACCTCTTCAAGTTTATTACAGTATCTTCAGTTCTTATTGCATATATTCTTACATGCCTTTTACAAGCCAGGATTATATATACAGTATGTGTAATTTAGCAGAAGTTATGTCTATTGCTTCTCTTTTGAAAATTAGCGGCATGCAGTGCAATATTTGGTGTGCAGTTATTGTTTCAAAAAGTAAAAAATTACTTAGGTTTAACTGCAAAGGGAACATGATCTTTATTGGCTTATATGCAAAGTTTAATTTTGGTTTTATGCAGAGTTTGCATAGTTCATGATTAGTTTCTAATGAAAAACTAGATGTGTTGTCAGTGACCTTGAAGAAGATCAGGTGACAGTAGCAAACAGAAAAATTTGAAGAAGAGGCATAACTTTTAAAGTGGAAAGGTCAGCAAGAACTGCCTGAAAAAAAAACAAAAGAATTATTAATATCAGTATTCCAATCAGCAAAGTAAAGTCTATAAAGTACAACAGAAATACCATTACAATGTAATTCCAGCATCAACACACACTCTAAGTTCCTCAGATTTGTCCTACATCTTTGTACTAAAGCTATAACTTTCCTGAATTTCTCAATGTTAGTACATGTGCAAAGTGCTAAATAGTGCAGTAGAAAATAATCCGGACTTTAGCCTTCAGCCTTCTTCAAATATACAAGGTAGCATTAGTTTATAAGAGGTCTAACATTTCAAGTTGCTTCTATAAATAAACATACATTATGAATCGTAGTCCCATTATACTAGTATAAGGAGTAACTGACTTCAGGAAATCATTTTGAGATGAAGCTAATGTTTATTCAGTTGCAAGATGCATAAACATCCTCTTCCTTTCAAAAAAAGAATGTAGGCAGGTATTTTAAGAATAAAATTTACATTTCTATGAGAGATACCAGATATAGTAATATGGTAAGTCACTATTTAATTAAACCATATTTCAGGTATAAATTATGCCATTGAAAAGAAATCTGCTTTAAACAACTAACTTACAATTAAAAGTAACCAAAACAACCTATGTATCATTACTGTATCATCCAAACACATGCCATCTTACCCTCTCAACTAGGCTTTCTTTGTTCTATGAGCATAACATGTGGACATGAACAATAATAAGAAAATGCAACATAAGCCCTGATAGCTTCTATTGAAATGACTAGGTATCTAGTTTCTTATAATGGTTTCCTATAATAATCTTGTTTATGACCCCTTCACAAGAAGATTGTTTCCAAGTAATGAAGGAATTTTGAATACTTAATATTACTTAGCTCAGAACTTACAGGTTTTACCCAAGTTAATAAATGAGACTACGAGAAATGTGTGTTCTATGCATCTGAGACTAAAGTGCCCGAGGCTGGCACTCTCTCAGGAACTATTTCCATCCCATCTGAGTGAAACTTATCCTTACTTCAGCTGCAGCCAGTGATGTCACCTCCATCAGGTTCACTGCTCGGAAAGCAAACACAGCAGCTGCCAGGACTGGAAAAGAATGCACACTATTTCAACTGCTGGCCTCCTCATCAGCCTGACATATTTACTGCTATGCCCACAACCAACCAGGAAAGCTCAGAACTAGCACCTTCCACGACTGCACAGCATTCTGAGTTATGGTCTTGTGATGAATGGAAATTGTCTATGCTAGAGAACAGTGCCTGATGGCTAGACAAACTGAATCCCACATTTTTAGAAAAAAAAGGAAAATCCAATGGTCTTAAAAATCATTTTATAAATAGCTTCTTTCATATCTACAACTTAAATTATTATGTTTTAAAATGGCCTGAAGATCCAATGACTGTCTTATAAATTAAGGTTTAGTTTGATGCAGGTGTTTCCCACTAACACAACAGAGGCACTTCTAATGTGATACTATTGAGACTGAAGGTAAGCACTGATGATTCATCTCTAACATGAAAATCTGTATGCTTTCCTGAGAATTGCCCTCTCTGCTGTCCATTAGGATGGTTTTCCAGAGACGGCACCAAGGATGATGCCATGACTGTCCTGGGTTCTGATAGGTGGTTGTGCCTCAGGAGTAGAAGTCAGGAGCCAGGCTTCTTCATTTCCCCAGACAGAGGCAGAGTGCAACCAGTGACTAGGAAGCACTGGCATTTTTCTAGGGGACAAAAGAATTTGAACAGTCTGGCAAAAAAGCATTTGAATTAGTTAGACAGGAAAATTCCAGTGAAAAAAAGAAAACAGTGGTAAAACAAAATTTAAAATGTCAAGTGTGCTGGTATTATTCAGTATATAACAAAGGATACAAGAGATCTTGTATTTACTCTTTAAAATGAAAAAGAAAATGTAAATACTTTAAAGTCACTAAGTTTCATGTTTATAGGAATATCACATAAAAACCATTTCTGTGGACTAGCAACTTCTTTACAGCTTCTCAATATCTGGAATCATATTATGGAGACATTTTAGAAGCTAATGAGTGTGAGCACCATTTCTTTCTTTCTTTCTCTTTTTTTTTTTGTGTGTATGTATAATTGAACAGAGTTAATGAAAGCTTGACAGGATGGTCAAATTTTTTGCTGTAGCAGGAAAGAGTTTTATAAGGTGGGAGACTGTTTTGCCAAAGGTAGATGAGAAGGGGTAAAAAAAGAGCAGTTTACCAATTGACCTCAGCATACAAAACGCTCATGTGCTCATAACCTTTATTTATCTTGGTGTCATATCACAGAAGTTCCTTTCTGTTTGCTTCATGTTTGGTTTGCCCAGCCCTTCTGCAGAAAGTATTGTTTGCCAAGGAGAAAAGATCTATACTTTGGGATATTTCCAACTGAAATCATGCTTCATATGAAATTTAAAAACTCTAATATTTACTTTAAAATTTTTTTTTAATTTTTTATTGTACTTTAGATGGTTTACAGAGCAAATCAACTTCTCATTAAACAATTGATACACATATTGTTTTGTGATATTGGTTGCCAACTCTACAACATGTCAACCCTCTCCCCTTCTCGACCTTAGGTTCCCCATTACCAGCTTTCCTGACCCTTCCTGCCTTCTCATCCTTGCCCCTGGGATGGTGTGTGCCCATTTACTCTTATTTTGTTGTGTGGGCCTGTCTAATCTTTGGATGAAGGGTGAACCTCAGGAGTGACTTCACTACTGAGCTAAAAGGGTGTCCGGGGGCCATACTCTCAGGGTTTCTCCAGTCTCTTTCAGACCAGAAAGTCTGGTCTTATTTTTGAGTTAGAATTTTATTCTACATTTTTCTCCCACTGTGTCTGGGACACTCTATTGTGACCCCTATCAGAGCAGTCAGTGCTTGTAGCTGGGCACCATCTAGTTGTGCTGGACTCAGTATGGTGGAGGCTGTGGTAGTTGTGGTCCATTAGTCCTTTGGACTAATCCTTCCCTTGTGTCTTTGGTTTTCTTTATTCTCCCTTGCTCCAGATGGGGTGACACCAGTGGAGTATCTGAGATGGCTGCTCACAAGCTTTTAAGACCCCAGACGCTACTCACCAAAGTAGAATGTAGGAACATTTTCTTTATAAACTATGTTACACCAATTGAGATAGATGTTTCCAGAGACCATGGTCCCCAAAGCCCTCAGCCCAGTAATTTGGTCCCTCAGGGAGTTTAGATGTGTCTGTGGAGCTTCCATGACCTTGCCTTGTACAAGTTGTGCTGGCTTCTCCAGTATTGTGTACTGTCTTACCTTCACCAAAGTTACACCTATGTATTGTTTATTTAGTGTTTTTCCCTCCCCACCCTTCTACTCCCTTGTAATCATCAATGTTTCTTTCTGTGTGTAAATCTCTCATGAGTAAAAAAACTCTAATATTTACTTTCAGTCTTTTAAACTATTCTTTTCATTAATTTTAAGAAACTCTATCATGAGCATTAAAACACCTTTGCTTTAAACTGTTCTTCAAAAGTCTCAATTCACAATTAAAGCCAGTGATATTTACTAAAATATTTCTAAGAACTATATAATAACTCACCTGAGCAAAAAATGTGAACCCCAAATATTCATACAAAAAAATATGTGTTATAATCAAAATTAATTTGTATACATCTATATGAAATTATCTACATTTGTGGCTCTTTATCTGAATTACATAGTAAGAGAGCATCTATCAGTCTTGTTCCATCTTTAGAAGGTCTAGAATTCTTTCCTGTTGGTTTTTAAAAAGCACCCATGGAAAGTGGGTGGGTGTGACAGTATGGAATACATTTCTACTTATTCATCAGTAACTTTTTTATTAATGTATTGAGCTAAGAGCAAAGTGCCTAGCTTAGAGCAAATACAATTCTCAATATACATTTATTCCTCTTTTCCTTCAGTTTGCTGAGGGGTGATAAGGCACAGAGTAAGACAATCTAAGTTGGAACAGGCCTTAAAAGTCTTTTAATTCAACCCACCTTCCAGAGTAGAAAACCTCTTCACCCTTCAGTGACAGCTAAAAAGCCCATTCTACTTTCAGGAAGTCCTAAGCATTAGAAAGTATTTTCTTATACTGAAACTCCTTCTTTATCAAGCTCTGATATCTTTTCAAAATTATATCAAAAGCTATATATAATACTCTTCAAAATTTCTGGAATACCCGTATGGGAGTTATTTGGTAAAAAAATCTAAAATCCTGTTGCCTGGGAAATGGTAGCAGAAACCGAGGCTACTTAGCCTAGAAAACAGAAAACTTTGGGGAGAGGCTGGGGATTCAAGAGTGGAAAAAACAGATAATGACTTTGGTTAAACAGCAGTACATTTTAACGAGTCATATTATCTAGAAATGAAATGCCCTACCTGGTAAAACTGCCTGTCAGAAATATTTAAAAGATTACCTCTAGGATTCCTTCCATATCACTGCCATTTGGCTAAAAGACATGAGCACAGACCATTCTCTCCTAACTCATATGTGTATGGACATGAAAAAAAAAAAAAAATGAGAGAGAAGGATGCCAAACCAAAAAAACAAAAAACTAAACCTGTTGCCATCGAGTTGATTCCTACTCACAGCAACCCTATAGGACAGAGTAGAACTGCCCCATAGGGTTTCCAAGGAGTGGATGATGGATTTGAACTGCTGACCTTCCGGATAGCAGCCAAGCTCTTAACCACTGCGCCACCAGAGCTCCAGAGGGACACTAGGAGTTGTAAAAAACATCAGTAACTGATGTCTCTGGTTATCCCAGTGTTGACATTTATCTTCATTTATTAATGGAGTACTTTATTAATACTCTTTCCCTCCCAAAATGATACCCAATTACTACAGAGCTCTTAGCATTTAAGAATATGTTAATATGATATTCAGAGAATCTTCCGCAAGGAAATGGTCTTCTTCAACTAAGGATTATTTCCACAATAGTCCAGAGATGTGACTTTACACTGTTATCAATTTAAGGTAAGGAAACAAAGGCTCACAGGTTAAGTAAGTTGTTCAAAATCATACAACTGTAGAAGGTTGCATGATTGCCAACTTTTCTACTCTTCATCCATGTTGTGAAAACCTTATAATGATTATTTGGATTATCTGATAATCCCAATGATAGCAATAATTGAGTCTATTTAGCACAACTCCCCCCACCAAAAAAAAAACAACCAAACCCACTGCAGTCGAGTTGATTCTGACTTATAGCGACCCTATAGGACAGATGAGAACTACCCCACAGGGTTTCCAAGGAGTGACTGGTGGATTTAACTCCCAACCTGATAAGTAATCTGTGCTCTTTGTGTTTTCTCTGGTGTAATCATACAGTTGCCTTTTGTGTATGTCTGTTGTAAGTACGGCTTATATTATTAAATCAGAGATGAGTTTGTGGCTTCCTGAAAAAAAGATTAAAAATTTTTTGGCCTAAGAAATACCTGCAAGGGGAAATTCAGCCACCAGAACAGGAGTCAGATACTGTCAGAAAAAGAGGAAATGGTTTTGAATTCAGGACAAATGGGCCCAGAAGAGTGGCACCCAGGTAACTGACGTCAGCTATACAGAGTCTCAGCTTCAGTCTGGATTTTAGGTAGTAGCTGAGAATAACAGAACAGATGCTAAGACAGCCAGTGTTGTTCAGAGAAGAGCAGAAGCATACCTACACTGTGCTGCGCAGACTTCATAGGGGCTGGGAGATACAAAGCTCTGACTGGATTAAAACAAGGGAGGGGAAAACAGACTTTTCTGGGAGCCAAAAAGATTAGGAATATGCTAATTTTGAGCAGTCAGAAGTAACTAGATCACAATACTTGTCTTCTAAGCCAGATAAATCTACTAAATGTTCTTGCATTAGAAATGACATATAACTGTAGACTCAAATTCAGGTTACATATGGTGAAAGAAAGGAAAGGGGCCTTACTATAGAAACAGTATGTGTTTATAAACAAGTACTTACTCTTACCAGCAAGAATTTCCAAAGAATTATATCCTAAGATTCTATCCCATAAAAGCAAGAGTTGATCCGTAGCTAAGTATCCAGAGAAAGCTCGAACCATCCATTTAAATGATATGCGAAGTCTGTAAGCAAGGAAAATAGAAAATAAATTTTATCAGTAGATTTTTTTCTTTCAAAAGGGTAATATCAGAAGAGCACCACCAAATCTATTGTTAGGGTAACTCCTTTGAGAGTCTTAGAAATCACCTAGGTATTTAAAAGTCAATTACACTCTTAACAATTCCAGATAAGCCATAGTAATTTGAATTTTTGGTCAAAATATTGGAAAGAGTTCACAATGGCTTTATACTTCTCCAATTCAATAAATTATACTCCTTCGTTTTAGTTGAGTGATTCCTTAGGATGAATAAAACAAAACAATAGGCATCAGTTTTTGAAGGACAAAGAAAAATAGTTTTAAAACTATAAGGAATTTTATAAATAGACTTCTGACTTTAAACACTTCATTTTAGAGACGAGGCTATTAGAACTTCAAAAGATCAACCAGAAAGTTCAGCCTAAGAGGTATGAGATCCTCCTATTTATAAGTAGGTTATATTACAATAGTAATTTATCTCTGGAATCAGGAAACAAACTCTTTGGCTCTGATGCCTCAAGAGATAAAATAGTCTCTCAAATTTCTGTATTATCTATTAGCATCTAAAAATCACTTGACTCTCCCTGAGAGGTACTAACAAAACTCTTTGCTGGAATTGCTGTAATATTATATAGATAAATATCTGTTATTTTCTTAAAAGAGAAAAAGGGACCCAGAGATTGCCTTTGTTGGTGCCATTGTATTAATTCTCTTCAGACTGAGAAATACGCCTAAATTTTAGAAATTCCTCAATATTGGGTAATTACTATTCTGATATAACAAAGTACATGTAGGCACAATAGTATTGACAAATTAAGCGTTTCAGCTGGTTTTAAAATATCTATTTATGATTGTAAACAAATCTTTTCATCACTGGATATTTTAATGCTTAAAAAAATGCATTTGACTTTTAAGCCTAAATTATTAATTTAAACTGGTTTCATTTTACTAGATGTCTCATAGTGCCTTATTAGAACAATAGTACCACACATTCCCCCACTCCCCAATATGTACATATATAAAACTTATTAGATGGGTCTAATAGCAAAATAGAAATGACCAAGGGAACAGCCAGTGAATGTGAATATAGATCAACACAAAGCATTCAATTTGAACCACAGAGAAAAAAGATTAGAAAAAAGAAAAAAAAAAATTGAACAGAGCTTCAGGGATCTGTGGAACAATATCAAAAACTTTAACATTTGTGTCACTAGAATCAAAGAAGGAAAGGAGAAAGAATGTGCAGAAAAAACCATGTGCAGAAATAATGGCTAAAAACTTCCAAAATTTGGCAAAAGACACAAACCTACAGATTTAAGAAGCTCAGTGAACCCCAAACAGGATGAACCCAAAGAACACCATGTCAAGACACATTATTATCAAACTACTGAGAACTAAGGACAAAGAAAAACCTTGACAGCAGCCAGAGAAAAATGAGGATTGATACTATTTCTTCCTTAGATACTTCATAGAATTTGTCACTGAGACCATTCAGATCTATAGTTTATCTGAAGGTAGAATGTTAGCAATTTAAGATGTATATTGTAAACCCTGGAGCACTTATTAAAAAACGTAAAAAAAAAAAAAAAAGTTTATAGATAATAATCCAATAGTGGAGATAAAATGGAATAAAAAAATGTTTGATTTCAAAGCAGACAGAAAAAAGAGGAAAAATAACAATATGAAACACATAGAAACTGTCTAGCAAGACAGTAAATTTTTATCCAATCGTATCAATAATTACTTAAATGTAAAAAAAAAAACCAATTAGAAGATGGCTATTGTCACACTGAAAGACCCAACTATACTTTAGAGAGGAAATTCACTTGAAAAATAAAGGCACTGATATGTTAAGAAGGATAGAAAAGAATATGCCATGTAAATTGTAATCAAAAGAAAGGCTGAATGGCTATATTAATATCAGACATAGTACATTTATTACCAGGAATGAAGAAGGACATTACATAATGATAAAAGGATCAATATCCCTAAAAACAGAACCTCAAAATGCATGAAATAAAAACATAGCACTGAAAAAAGAAACAGACAAATCCACAACTTTCACTGGAGACTCTAACATTGCCCTCTCGATAATCAATAGAACAAGTAGACAGCAAATCAGTAAGTGTATAGAAGACCTGAACAATATTATCAACAAACTTGACCACATTGATAATCACAAAACACTGTGCCCAACACTGGTTATTGTCGTTAGGTGCTCTCGAGTTGGTTCCAACTCACAGCGACCCTATGTAAAACAAAACACTGCCTGGCCCTGTGCCATCCTCACAGTAATTGCTATGTTTGAGCCCACTGTTGAGCCCACTGTTGCAGCCATCATGTCAATCCACCTCGACAAGGGCTTCCTCTGTTTCTCTGATCCTCTACCTTACAAAGTATGAGGTCCTTCTCTCAGGGACTCCTGATAACACGTCCAAAGTGCATGAGACGAAGTCTAGCCATCCTCACTTCCAAAGAACACTCTGGCTGTACTTCTTCCAAGGCAGAAGTTATAATAGTTTACTTTGTCTTCTCAAGCTGCCCTTTGAAATCTTCTGTTCAGCTCTTTTACTTCATCATTTCTTCCTTTTGCTTTAGCTACTCTACATTCAGCAGCAAGTTTCAGAGTCTCTTCTGACATCCATTCTGGTCTTTTCTTTCTTTCCTGTCTTTTTAATGACCTCTTGCTTTCTTCAAGTATGATGTCCTTCGACAACCCATCTGGTCTTTGGTCATTAGTGTTCAACGTGTCAAATCCATTCTTGAGATGGTCTCTAAATTCAGGTGAGATATACTCAAGGTTGTACTTTGGCTCTCATTGATTTGTTCTAATTTTCTTCAATTTCAACTTAAATTTGCATATGAGCAATTGATGGTCTGTTGCGCAGCTGTCCCCTGGCCTTGTTCTGACTGATGATACTGAGCGTTTCCATCATCTTTTTCCATAGATGTAGTCAACCGGATTCCTGTGTTTTCCATCTGGTGAGGTCCATGTGTATAGTCACCATCTATGTTGCTGAAAAAAGGTATTTGCAGTGAATAAGTTGTTGGTCTTGCAAAATTCTATCACGCAATCTCCGGTGTCATTTCTATCACCAAGGCCGTATTTTTCAACTACCAATCCTTCTTTGTTTCCAACTTTTGCATTCCAATCACCAGTAATTATCAAAGCATCTTGATTACATGTCTGATCAATTTCAGACTGCAGAAGTTGGTAAAAATCTTCAATTTCCTCATCTTTGGCATTAGCAGTTAGTGCGCATATTTGAATAGCAGTTTTATTAACTGGTCTTCCATGTAGGCAAATGGATATTATCCCATTACTGACAGCACTGTACTCCAGGACAGATCTTGAAATGTTCTTTTTGACAATGAATGGGATGCCATTCCTCTTCAATTAGTCATTCCTGGCATAGCAGACCACATGATTGTCTGATTCAAAATGGCCAATACCAGTCCATTTCAGCTTAATAATGCCTAGGATGTAGATCTTTATGCTTTCCATTTCATTTTTGATGACTTCCAATTTTGCTAGATTCATACTTCATACATTCCACATTCTGATTGTTAATAGATGTTTGTAGCTGTTTCTTCTCATTTTGAGTCCTGCCTCATCAGCAAAAGAAGCTCCTGAAAGCTTGACTCTGTCTGTGTCATTAAGGTCGACTCTACTTTGAGGAGGCAACTCTTCCCCAGTCGTATTTTGAGTGCCTTCCAACCTGAGGGGCTCATCTTCCCGCACTATACCAGACAATGCTGTGCTGCTATTCATAAGGTTTTCAGTGGCTAATATTTCCAGAAGTAGACTGCCAGGTCCTTCTTCCTAGTCTGTCTTAGCCTGGAAGCTCCACTGAAAACTATCCATCATGGGAGACCCTGTTGGTATTTGAAATACTGGTGGCATAGCTTCCAGCATCACAGCAAAATGCAAGCCACCACAGTACAACAAACTGACAGATGCGTAGTGGTGCCTAACACTAGCAGAACACAAATTCTTTTCAAAAGCACATGAAACATTTACCAAGATAGATCACATTCTGAGCCATAAAACAAACCTCAACAAATCTAAAAGAACTGAAATCATATGAAGCATGTTTCTAACTACAACAGAATTAAAACAGGAATCAATAACAGAAAGATATCGTTCTAAAAATTTGAAAATTAAGCAACATAATTCTATATAACAAAGAGGAAGTCACAAGAGAAATTAAGAAACATTTTGAACTGAATGGAAATGAAAACACAACATATCAAAATTAGCTTGGTGGAAGTAAAGTGGTGTTCTGAAGGGAATTTATAGCATTAACGTTTATATTAGAAAAGAAGAAAGATTTTAAATCAATAATCTAAGCTTCCACCTTTAACAAGTAGAAAGAGCACAATAAACCTAAAGCAAGCATAAGGAAGGAAATAATAAATGTGGTTATTGTTAGTTGCCAACTCATGGTGACTTTATGTATAACAGAATGAAATGTTGCCTAGTCCTGCACCATCTTCATGATTGTTGGTATGTTTGAGTCCATTGTATGGCTATTGTGTCAATCCATCTCACTGAGGGTTTCTCTCATTTTTGTTGGCCCTCTGCTTTACAAAACATGATGTCCTTTTCTAGTGACTGGTCTTTCCTGATGACATGCCCAAAATAAGTGAGTTAATTTTGCTATCCTCACTTCTCAAGAACACTTTAGTTGTATTTCTTCTAAGACTGATTTGTTCATTCTTTTGGCAGTCTGTAGTATATTCAATATTCTTCACCTACACCACAGTTTGAATGCATCAATTCTTCTTCTGTTTTTCTTTTTCATTGTCCAGTTTTCGCATGCGTATGAGGTGACTGAAAAGACCGTGGTTTGGTTCAGACACATCTGATTCATCAAGGTGATATCTTTGTTTTTAAAGCTTTAAAGAGGACTTTTTCAGCTGACTTGCCCAGTGTAACACATGGTTTGATTTCTTGATTGCTGCTTCCATGGGCATTGATTGCTG